TGACAAGAACAATGAGAACACAATAATACCACAAATATTTGATGACAAAATCCGAAAAAAATGCTACTTTATTTGGGTGGCAACAGCTGGAGAATTGATATACTGAGCAACTGAACGATGCAGAAAGATTATATAATTATGGTCGTGTAGCATAGGACATCACAATGATAATGGATACTTGTGTATACATTTATATGAAATGCGGTAGGATCAATCTGACTGATTAGAAATAGGATCGTTTATTATAAGTGTAAGAAACTAATATTGGAAGCTAGTGTGCATAAAATAAAGGAAACATTTGGAATTCTCAATTACTTTAATCGTTCACGGATCACTACGAATACTTTCATTCGCCTGGAAACGCCAACAAAAATAGCAAATTCGTCTAATATATGACTACCACGACAATTCAACAAACCACACTTTACAGAAACATTTACCGAACTCGAATGCATCATATAAACTGTGCACGAATGCAATTTGCAACAGATGAATGAAACGGTGAACGTGTGAGTTGGTATTAAGAGGAAAACGAATGGATCGATAAAGAAACCAGGAAAAACGAGGTCAATGAAAGCTTGTGTAAAAACAAAGGAGAAAGAAAGGTGAATATAAATTGCAAAAAAATTCAAATTTGTTTGAAAACACAGTTCATATTTCTTTTAAATAATCGCGTTGAAAGAGTTGTAAAATTTTTCGAATTTTAATGATAATAACGTTTAAAAGTTTTTTTTGAATCGACTGTCACATTCACATACATCATTTCTTCTTTTTGCCAAACGAAAAAAATCCTTTTTTCTTCTTTTTGCCTTCTTTTGATGCGCTCATCTGTAATGAAGAAATATTAAGTTTGAAACTTTTTTGAAACGCTAAAAAATGTTCGATTTGATCGGAATCACTCATAGTCATCTTCAGGTAACTCGAAAACATATCCTGAAGGAAAACGTTCATCAATGGGTGAAAATGCCACAAGAAAATCAAGTTGGAAATGTTCAATTCACCTCTTCTTCTGTAAGGGCCAGATCTGAACTCCGTTGTGTCGTTTCAGAGCCTGAAACAAGATAAAATGAATGAATGACGATATGGGTCAAGAATCGATCGGTCTAGAATAAGCACTGTCACCTACAACTCAATCAAACAATCGCATGCACAAACGAATATCATCTCAAAATAGTTGCTTGCACATTCACAACACGTTATAGCATGCATCAAAACCATGATCAACATTCTGCAATGGAACTACGAGATGAACATGTGCTTGAAATGGGAACGAACGAACATACTTCTGGGAAAAAGATTTCTACGAAGTGCTGAAGTGAATCGCTCCGATTTACTACGTCTAAATGGCTGCATCACTGGTTGTAGATCGCCCGCCGGTAATGTTGCCGATGTGGCGACGACGCCTTCTTGTTTCCTTGGTTCGCTTTTCGCTCTTTCTTCTTCATTTATAAGCGCATCAAACGAATGGCCCAAAATAATATAGGTCGTGCAATTGAAACTGATTTTGAAATTGAACATAAACAAACTCACAATCAAGGGAACAAGAATACAACAAATCGTTATCTTAAACACTTAATAAGATGGGTCAAGAATGACGAGATGGATCGACAATCGATCAGTTTAGATTAAGCACTGCCAAGTAGTATCGTCTACAAAAAAAGTGATCGCCAAAATCTGACGAACTGATAACAATCCGTATTCCACCATCCTAACCAAGATCAGTATAACAAGTGGAATAATTCATTCAACCTAGTATGACAGATCCAAGAAAGAGGGAGATGCAGCAATTCAGTAATGTTAGAAGAGATATGGTGTAAGATAAGATCAAACGATCATCTTTAATTGGCATTACGATAAAGTAATATCGTCTACAAAAAACTACACCACCTACTAATTTCAAAATCAAGTAGTTTTCATACATGATTGATACTTACCAATAGCACGAACAGACATAAGATTCGATGAAGAGAAATTAAACTGATAGGAATAACTGTGTAACCAACGAACAAGTTCGCAATAGAGAAACTTTCTTATCGGAATATGACTTTAAAAAAGCCTTTCGAACTACTTGTGGCAATGAAAGGAAGCGTCATCGCACGAACGACGAATAAGACACAAGGAAGAATTAATGGATAAATTAATCAGATGCATTCTGAACTAAGATCTTTTTCACTTACAACGAAATTCGACAATCACTTAAACCATTTCAGAGAGATGTCATAATGCTACTGCGACCTTTTTAGAGGCATAGAATGCAACCCTATCTGCAAAGGACAGACCGAAAACTGTACTAATCAGGACTAAAAACATTATTCGCTGTGATCATGACAAAGACAACGACGATGTGAGCAACAATAACAAAAAAAAACAACACAATAATGAAAAGGTGTCTTTGTTGAGGGCACTTGTTTCAGCTGACAACGAAAACGATTCAACTAACAGAATTCAGTGAAAACTGAAATGAATTTAAAAAGAACAATTGTAGATCTGGAACTGACGATTTGGTGTTGAAGCAGCGAGCGGACTGGCAGCAGTACGTACCAAACGACTCTGCGGTGAGTCGGATTCGTCAAACGTTGTCTCTCGACTCAGCAACGAATTACCAACTGAAATTTAACGGAAACACTACAGAGGAAGAACACAAAAAAACGATAATCGTGCAATTCGACTGCAATCAAATGCAAACGATGGACTCGAAATTTGTTGAGGGAAACATTAATTGTTCATGGCATTTTAGAATGAGCTAACCCGACTATTCATCTGAATGACTGTCTATTGTTACCGACCACAGCTACTGGAATGAAAACAGACTGTGAGCATACCGAACAACGTTTTCGGTTAGTATATCCCATTCACATATAATCACAGAAATGGACAACAGTTGAACTACAAAATATAAACATGCAATCAATTGCAAATTTTTCTGAGCGGCTAATGAACTGAAACATTTTACACAGCATCACAAACATGAGCTGATGACCTCGACCTATCATAGATGACGATCGAAATAATGCCAAGCAATGAAATTATTACGAATAAATCGTTCGGTTGGACAGTGAAGACGAATATGAGATGCACCAACTGAACACACTACTAGCAATACCACCGCCAGCTGTTAATTCAGATACAAAAATCAACTTAAAGTGATGATAAGGGCTTGATATATCTTGGAAACGAACGATGGTTTACGATAGATATCTGGAACAACGAACCGGAAAAAAATCACCTGCATACAAAACGTGTAGAATATTTTTGATTCCGAAAGCCATCCGATGTATGAGGATCGAAAGGAAAACGCTATCAAGTGAAAGTAAACAGACTGACCACAACAAGAACAGATGAGCAAAAATACGAGATCAAGCAACAAATACGCATCATTCAAATCAAGAAACGATCTAATACATACACTTATGTTGCAAATTCATGTGAGAGAGACATCATCGCAAACCATTTCAATGATAAATTATTTCATGAAGAATTTTCAGTGATAATGCACAAAATTCAGACGAATCACGTTCGGTCGAACAAATCATAACAATGCTCCACATTCAAACGAAATAACATTCATGCCACAAAACGAAATAAATTCGGAAAAAGCAAATTACGATAAGATAACAATGATTACCAGGCCCGTAATCATATGGCAACATTTGGAGGATCTGTTTGCAAAATCAAAGTTAGGACTGATCCCACCGTTCGCTAAGCTAGCTAATTGAACTCTTGTCCTCTTATTCAAGCTGTTAGCCTCCGGAAAATCGGAACAGTTTGATCTGAATTTTTGGGGTATCCAGTCCCAAGTAATAACGGGTCCGGTAATAGCCAGACAGCAATCCATAAAAAAGCCAAACTCTATACTCGCAACTGCAGCACTCTCACCATTAGCGTTTGTTGATTGTGCGGTAACAGTGTTTGGATGTTGCTCAGATAAAGTTTCAGCTTGCTCCTCGTCCACAGATGCAGATGTCATGGTGGCAACGGGAGCTCGTGACCGATGCTCCCTGGCCACTTGCATCAATGAAACCGTTTCTAAACGTAGTATCCATCTATATTCATGAGCTACGCAAAAATACATCGAATAATAGGAAACCAAAAAAAAAAACAATCTCTATCAAAGAAAAAGAAAATAGAAACAACCGAAAAAAGACATCGATTCAATTACACAGATTGACTGTAATCTATTCGTCACAATTTCAAAAACGTTTGAATGATCAATAATTAAAGGAACAACAACATCTATGCATAAGTATTAATACTAAATATATCATGCATATTTATGTGTTCGTCAAAGTGATCATATTGCCTGAATATGCAATCATGTGAAAACTATTCGGACAATGCATCCCCATTCTGACATTAAAACGGTCTTGGAATCACAACCACTATTTAGTTACTGCTCGCTCATTTGTTACTTTTTTGCTTGATTTTGCACAATACGATCAACGATTTCTCAAAAAAGCTCTCTACCTCTAGTTAACGTGGTTTGACGAAATTAGGACACTAAACGAGACATCAATAAAAGGGTCTGGTCTATCTTAATTAACATTATACAACTTGGGAACAAGTGAACAGAAATGAAAGAAATCCTGCTTTCTCAGCAATAAAAGGAAGACAACTACGAAATAGCTGCACTGATTGTGAGTTGAAAGGAAACAAAAACGGATCATAACTGAACANCGTGTAATAAAACAGATCAATGATACAATTTAAGAACGATCTCAAACAAAGGTAACGATTAAGTATTCAATTTTTCAACAGTTCTCAATATTGAATCGTTCATAACTTGTGTTAGCATTTTTGACACCGGAAAATATACATTTGAACTTGCTGAAAAACGAATAGAACAAGAATAGTGAGAGAATAATTTGAAGGTTGTAAATGCATTAGTGATTGATACAGCTCAATATATCTCAAAAGTGTTTCGTGATAATCCCCCACACCATGATAAATATACTCTTGATTTCGCAATAACATCTCAAAGATTATCAAATGCAAAGAAGTGACTAAATTTCACCTGCACTAGGACTGTCAGTTTCGTAAACCGGTTGACTTGGTGTTGTTGCTCTTTCGATTGTCTCCGATACAGAGCCAGGCCGTGGTGTTTTTGATTCTACTTCTTTCATATACTTCTGAATATCTTCATCCGTCTCACTCGCGAATGGATTTGGAGCATACAGCTGTCGATAGACCTACAAATCAATTTTTAGTATTTTGGAACTCAGCACAAATCACTTGAGAGAAATATCAACATTTCGCTATTGCTACCGAAATCAAAGACAGCATCCCTCTTCAATATAACAAAAGACCAATTTTAGTCGCATAATTTCAAGGCACTAATTTTACGTTACTACTTCGCTGGACAAAGATCGACAAATCACGATATAATAACGCCAATTTAGATAAGTTGCATTTGATTTCTAAAATGATAATCGATAAACAACGAGAATCGAGAAAGAACCTGCGCATTGTGCTGATGTTGTCTATCGATGATACCCTTGCTAGCAGTTCCAATCATCAAGACACGATCGCCTTGACCACTTGTTTCAGCCACCTCCTGAAGTTCACATAGGGATTGATTGCAATAATTAATTAAATCTATGCCAAATCATAGCTTGACTCAAGGTCGATAACATTATGCATCATTCGATCTTAAGCAAAACTCTCGCCTGCGAGCGGGACTCGAACTGTCGACGGCATGATGATCGAGAATAGAAGGAGAAAATCACGAATCAGATATAAATGAACTTGATGTTCAGTAAAAAATTGAATGTAGACCTTTTGTCGGCAGTAATATATACAGAACAGAGAACGAAAAGTGGAACACAAAATAAGGATAATCATCCCAATCAAAGAGTTGAGAGGAATCAAAAGACGAGAAAAATAATAAGGAAGTACGAAGATAAAAGCAAGCTGAAAACTGCATAAATCGAAAAAAAAGCTTCATGAAGTAAGTAACCGATCGCAACTGTGCTGCTTCTTCATAGGTGACTCCATCGAGAATCTGCGACTGAGGACCAGCTGATGTTGCACCAAGGCGACGATTCTCTTTGATTGCTTTTTGTTTTTCTTTGAACTCTTTTGGGTTGACTCCAAATGGGCTGAACTGGTGCGGTGAACTGATTTTAACTGCCGTTCCACTATTGGATGGCGTTGTCACATCTTGCACCCACTGCAATATCAAAATTGATTGCGCAATCCTTTTTTTGGATTATCTTTCCGATAAAAGCTCTTTGAAGTGAAAAGTCATCATGCAAACTGTCGCAAACAATGAACCTTCGTGATTTTTTTAGGGTTATCAGTGCCCGTTTCAAGGACTTCAATTCGTTGATAAGCGTTTGGTGAGTTCAGCCATCTTGATCTTTCTTGTTCTTTTCGCATAAGAGCAATTTTGTGCGCCGTCAAAGCTTCAGCATCTGTCTCATCCACCTTGAACAATAAAATGATGATAAATGAACGATGAATTCGACTGTGATATGAGCGATTATAACTTATCGATACTCACCTCACCCATTGCTGATGCACTCGGTGGAATTGCAACATCATTTTGGTTCGCTGCTGATACATTCGATGCTGCACTTGATGCACTAAGTATTGGCTGTCGGTATAAATGACCAGTTCGATAACCCTAAAATATCAACGATTATAAATCGATAAAAACAAGCAAATATCAATATGAATTAAGTAGAAGCGATCTTACGATAATTTCAGTGTTGCCCACATAAAAGTCTAAAGCCGAGTGAATTTCAGAAGAGCTCAAAATAAACGCATTTTGTCGAAGGGGCTAAACTGCTAAACAAAACAACTGAACCCGCGTACTGATATCATGAATTAATCACTTGATTTGCGAATCAAAAGAGTGGTTCTAGGTAAAATACAGAGTGATTTTACAAGACAACATCAACAAATCCAAATGACTCACTGCATTGTCGAGCACTCGCATCCACGCTTCCCATTCCAGTTCGCCTATTCGCCAGTTGATCTGTCTTCCATTTGCGTCTTTTGCTGGTGATCTATTCACCCCTCCACCTATTATCGCGTTATCGTTATAATTAGAAATAAATCGTTTAAACCTCTCAAAAATTGAGAATAAAATCTTAACAACTGACAAGTACATTTCTGCAACATCCAAATCATTTGCTAAAACATTTATATGTCAAACCATACAATTACTTCAAATCATCCAACAACTTTCGAAATAAGTGATCTTTCTGAACGAACAAAATTTCACCTCCTCGCCTCGCTGTTTTATAGGCTCTTTCGACAGCCTTTTCGTCGGGGATCACCAAATTTTCCAGTCCGGCGCGTGCTGCCCTCAGCTAAATGGATTTGATTGAGCAATACATCAATGAAACAGCTCATAAAGAGGGTCAAAAATGGAATGAATATAGCCACCAAATTACTGGCAACAAGTTGAGACAACTGCGTAGATATCAGACGTTGAGGCTGTCAGTGGTTTCGTTTTTTGTTTCGGTTTTTATTGAATCGAAAAAGACAACACGATAGCAACATTTGTGTAGTTGCATTATTTGGTATGGTACAATTTGGAAAATATGAGACAGATAAATTGAAACGTTACTTCAAAGTGATTGTCAATAACTGAGGATATAGCGATGATCTCGCAGTCAGATATATTTTTGTTTCGTGAACAGAGCAATAGCTAAGATAGCAATATGCAATATGAATTATGGCGAGTAATGCGTAGAAACGAATATATTGAAAAATCATGTTTGGTTTATGATCAAATTCATCAAAACATTTGAAACTATCGAAAAAAAAGTCGTCATTGGAATGATTCTTCCGTCGAAAGGAAATCATAAGCGTAGAACGGTCGGTCCCTCTGGTTAAGTAGATCTACTGGATAAGTAATAATGGACGATGACAGTACAACAATTGTGATATATGCGAAACCTGATTGTCACAAGCGGAAATCAAGCTTCTTGTCAGATACATCGCCTCTTCAACCGTTTCGCCACAAACAATAAAGCCGTTAGTACGCATGATTAGAATCTGAATAATCTCTCAATATTTGCTTATTTGAATGCTCACTTCATATCAGTTGCGCTTATCTTTCTTTCACTTCAACGTTAACGGAATGATTAACATTTACATTCGTAAAGAGAGTATTCTGAAACATGGATTCTGTCTTTTTTCCCTTTGTAAAGAAGCTTGAATGCGCAACCAATGCGCTGTAATATTATGGCATAAAACGTGAGCTGTAAACAGTCAAATATCGATCGAAACTGAATTTCGATGGATACACTAAACGGAAACTGAATTTTCAATCATTCGTTGCTGCTTGATCTCGTGAAAAGTTGAAAATTTTTCGCATTTCAAATTGAAATTCTTATTCGATCGCACATCCGCGAAGTCAAAAACGCACAGACAGACACACACATATACACAACAGTAACAACACCAACAATAATATATGTTAACAGGACAACATCTAATATGAAGCTGGTTGCAACAATTTTTACCATTTTTTGGGTACTGACTCATTTCAGGATAAAAAACGATTGAATGGAACATATCTCAATCTTTCTTATCATAGCACAAATAACTGCGGAAAAATCGAAATTGTGTACATGAGGGAAATGTGCATTTGATTCTCAACAAATAAAACCACAGCCAACCGAACTGAACGTTCAAATTTCAGCTTAAGATGATCACTTCAGGCGAAATTTTACTTTCGGCAACAACGATAATAATACGTTGAGAGACATACAACAGTTGGATTATGAAAGCAAATACACATTAGTTTTATGATGAAAGAAATGCTTTTGAATCGAAAATACGAATAATCCATATACGAACGCATATATTAAGGAAAACATGATTTCTTTCGAATTCTGACATTCGAGCGAATCAACTTGATACATCTGCGCGAAGGTATCGTAGATTTACATGCATACTATACTGCACAACTCTTGTAATTACATTCGTGCTCTAATATTGGCGATGTGATAAATACAACGGTTTAGTCGGCTCGACAGCAGCCGAAAAGTAAATTCATTGGCTCGATGCTTGTCTTCGATTGTTAATCACTTTTTTTCGATAGTTCAAACTTTACATCTCATATGAGCACAGTTCAGCTTTAGAGTGGGAATAAGCAGTTGAATCAATATTATAACTGCATAGAAAATGTATGCATACACTGTGCCATTTACTGAGAACAAGTCAGAGGTGTTCCTATTCGATCCATATCACATCATCCAAGAAAACGGCGAACACGTAAAAAATGTGAATAAAAGAAGCATGCCTGAGATTCACACGCGATGATTGTATGAAAGGCGAGGTGTAATGCTTCCTCCACGGATTCTCCACACGCCACAAAGCCGTGATTCCTGAGAAGCATCACCTAAAGCTGTCTACAATTTACTCGGCACCACAACACCACCACCACGACAAAGTCATCGACTTGCATTCATAATTAATCACACATGAAACTTGCAAATCATATCGATTCTCACATGCTTTCATATTTGTTGCTGTTTCTTCGAGTAACTTTCAAATATTTTCAATCAGCACTGGAACCGCAATTTCTAAAAACCCTATAACAATTATGGCTTGATATCTTTCAGGATATTTGAGAATCGAACTACAGTGGGATACGTCTAAAATGAAAATTTTATTGGTAAACAATGTTGCTCGTTGATATTTTAAAGCTATGAACATGCAAATGCACAACAAGAAACAATCACGAGAGTCAATCAGTCGTATCATGCCGAACAAACTGATAATGAATGTGTGCGCAATAACTATCGACAATGAAAATGAGAAGTAAAACGTTTTTACCCAAATAAAGTAGAATCGAAATACCCAACGAGATGTGCAATCGAATAGTTCAACTTTTGAAAATCTTTCACAGAAATGAGTGAATAAAATTTTCGTTCCTCTTCACTTTGGCATCGTGTGGATACAAAATTCATTTTTGTTTCAATTTATCGCATTGTGAAAATTTCAACGGCTTTCACCAAAACATAAACAACTCACGTTTTTTTCACCGAGATCATCGATAATCGATTGTCGTTCGGATTCTTCATTCAGAATCCCCTGAAGATGAGCAAAAATCAACAGCAAATAGCAATGGTCAGGTCAAACGGCCGCACATCTCACCGTACAAATAATAGACGAGTAGTGACTAAATCTTAGATTATCGAAAATCTAGTGTTGTAAGATCTGTTTGTGAAAAACGATCATAACTACAGATGACGAACTAAAGTAGCAAAAATCATTCTTCGAATAAATAGATATTCGATGAGATTCCTAACTGAATATGATAGTTTCATACCCAAAGATTATAAAAGCATTGAGTGAATAAAGGGATCATGAAAATTTAGACGAGTGAATGAATGTGGAATAAGAAAATGGCTGAGGATGAATTATGGATGATAGAATAGATAAAAAACCTGATAATCATGATATGCAACCGGTCCAATGATCATCGCTTCTTGGCTAATAGGAAGAAGGCCGCATTTCATTGAAGAAACAGCTGATACGACCGCCGTATGCATATGCAACACACAACGCACATCTGGACGCGCTCTATGAATAGCCGAATGCAATACATAACCAGCCTGCAATTCGTGATTCCATTCCAACTAATATTCTGACTTGAGAACAGATACAAATCTCTTCAATTTAGTGATTATTTTATTCAGGAACTACATTTCGGAGAAGTCATCCGAAGACATCATCAATTTGACCGATCACAACCGATTTTCATAAGAGATATCGAAAATTAAGAAGTGACGGCGGACATTCACAATTAAGAAGCAGATCGAACGTTGAGCCATATTTTTTCATTACTCAGTTGCTTTTGGATGAAACAAGTAGGACTTTGCACTTACTGCTCATACAGTACATCAGCAAATTAGAACAATAGACTACAGAGCGAATAATTTGCATCAACTCAAAACGACAAATTCATAAGAACAATAAAGGACACGGATAAAACTGAAATAAAATATTAGAATGAGTCCAATTATTATTAAACGCCAGTAAAATCTAATGAATGAAATACCTGGTTGATGCCCAGTTTCGTTGAGCCATGATCTAAGATTTCACCATCCAAATTAACTTTCACCAAAGAAGAAGCCGTAATTTCATGATATAAGAGACCGAAAGGATTTATTAAGATCTCATCTGTATCGTCAGATAACCTCAACTGAAATAAATATCCTTCTTTAACAAGACAACAGTTCTTCTATACTAATAAAATTTCAGATAAATAATGCTTTCTTGAAAAACAACCACTATATGAACGAAAGAAATGGCTCTCAGGAAAATATGAAGACGAACTGAGTAGAGATATCTATCTAATTTGAATCTGAACATAAACAGAAAATGAAACACACCGTGATATGATTATAAATACCTTGCGACCACTGAAATAAATCTACTAGACGGTACAAAGATGCCAGTTTATTCCTTAATAATTTTTCAGCCTTCGTATATTTATCATTGCCACGTAAGTCAGCAACCGGTAGAACACTGGCCGAACCTAAAACGAGAAACTGATCATGTGATCATGATGGTAGAAAAACTGGAATTAACACATCAAATAACGGAACAAGAGTAATGAGCAACAGAAAACACCAATCAATTAATCAGTTATGTTAACATCGTCTTACCTATGCTTCGGAGGCTGACGGCTGCTAGATGACCGTGAGGCAATGTTAATTCAGAAAGGCGCTGCAGAGTTTTGAGGTGTTCTGGATCAGTTTTATTATTCTCACTCTCTTGCTTGATTAATTCTTCTAGAGTTTTGCAAAAACTTTTCGATTCCAAGATTTGTTGCACTCGTTTTCGCCTTTCCATTTCTGACAGATCTTCCTGAACGATTGTGAAATGTGATCATGATCAGTCGTTGATGCCAACAAAAAACAATAACTACTGCACTTCATCTCTTCATTTACAGAGCATTCTCAACATTCGCCAACGAATTCAACTTGTGCAAGCAACAAAACTGTACATAACATCGCAAATAACTACTCTTCAACTGTCAAAGTAATGTATTTGTTTTGACACTATTCCGAACTGAATGATCAAGACGAGTTTCAACGAACAACCTTGATTGCGGCTGGCCTTTGCAAATCCTTGATATAATCAGGGTCATCGGGGTCAAAATTGATGAAAGAGCGCTCTGGTGTCCCATTCGACGTCCCGTTCGTTTTCCCCGGCATGTCGCCACTGAGAAGAAGTGATGTTTATTTCAGCGCAAATCAATATGAACAATAATGATACGCTAATAGCATTAAAAAAGACACTGAGAGCGCAACACAGATTGATTCAAACTAGAACGCTTTCATAAGAAAGAACTCGAGAAATACGTAATTGATCAGTGCATGTTTGCCATTGTTTGTTTCAAGTTTCAATAATTCATAAACTGATCTTGACATTAAAATCACTACAACAGTTAGTGTAAATCTTATTATTCATTTGTGCTGTGGAGTGTTGAACATGCAGCATTGCATTTCAAATGAATCTGATATTGTATTGAACACTTTATGATTGTATTTATGATCGATCGTCGACATCGAACCATCGATCATAAATGCAAAACAAAAAACGGTAAAACGAATCTGATAAGAAACAATGAATGATTGATAATATGTAGTTGTCTTTTACAACACTGAATATCATCAACCATCAATATTCCGTTTTTGTGTTCACATTACCAATTCGACAACGTCATAATAATGATAGCGCCGATATTACTATCAATAATACGATAATCAGTAAATATCATAGGAAAAAACTGAATATCACTGCAATAAGGCAAGATGCTCCATTACGCAAAAGTCGTTTTAAATTCGAGCAGTGAGAGCAAAATAGGCAAAACCAGTGTCTACCTCCATCGAAACTACCAGTCAAAAATATGTGATATAGGGCCGAAAAGAGCATAAATAAGAGAACTGAAACAATAAAAATAACAACAAAAATCTCAGAAAAATCCACGTGCGTGGATAATAAATGAGACTGTTCGGTGCTTGAGCAAACAACATTAAAATCATTCTTTACCATTCATATTCCACTCAACCAATCAATTAAAAAAAGCTCAATCAGATGTAACGACTAACTCGCTTGCAGTGCATTCCCTTTTCTGCGTTAACAATGATGTAGCAATCGAATACTACTACATCCCCATAGCTACGTTCATAAATCCACCCGTTCCTATTATAATCAGCAACGGAGAGTGTCGATGAGCTGATCTCAGTGGCCGCAGCTAACACAATCACGGTGGATTACCAGCACATTGAATAAATCTAAGTTTCGGCCTGGTCAGAAATCTGTCTGAATCAATATCTCTTTACTATAAAAGCTGCTATTTATTAATGTTTATTAACTCGACCGTGACTAGAACCGTAGTAGTTGGTAAGGAGCAAAGAAGACAACGGATAAGTGAGTGACTATTCAGTATGATAGAGATGCTCTATGAGGACAGCGCAATTCGACAGCGATCAACAGTAATAACAATAACAACAACAATAATAATAACAATGATAATTATCATTATAGCAGTCCCAGTCTATGAACAGTCAATATGAATCAGCACCATTATCAATGAAACTTTGAACATTACAGAACAACGACTAGTGCATTAAAATTTCAAGTGAATGAGAAAGTGTTGAGTTGATGTTTAGGAAATAAGGCCAACGAACAACGGGAAAACACTTCATTATTAACGAGAGCAAAGAGGAAACTAATTTGAATTCTGCAGAATGTTTCAATTTTCAAGCATTCATTTTCGTACTATCTGTCCAATACGCTTGAGATAAAGATGGAAAAATTATGCTGAATAGAAAATGCGAAGAAAACACATGAATTATTTCACATGAATAAAAAACAAATAAATAAACAATCAGACAGAACGAACGATTTATGATGTTGCTCACCCAATAACATATGCCAATTGAATGAAATACTTTTTTCTGAAATTCTTTTTCGATAGTCGTATAAAACAATATCATTAAGCAACCACATGATGATGATGTATTCGAAAATGATTTGTTCCATTCACAAAAAAAGCATGACTTAGACAATCCTTCATTCCTTTAAAACATTTAGAAGTACGCACAAAAAAAAATAATTCTAAAAGCCTTCAACTGCATATTTTCATTTAAATACAACCATGAGATGATCATAGTTAATAAGACTGATATCAAATGTACAGTTATCGTCGACAATGCACATTTAAATTCTGAGTATCGATAGTAACTGATAAGCAACAATAAGTTTTGAGAATACTTATATAAGTGTTCCGATTAAATTCACTGTTCATCGCTATCGTCTTATTTTTATTCCTGAATCGCATGCTTCGTGCCGGAGCAGTAACGTTCGTGAATAAAAGCAATGAATTGAAGAATGAGTCGAATAAAACAGATCGGTAGGCTCTAAAGTTATTCTGTTCTCGTTCAGTGATTCAGCAATTGCTGAACGGATATAAGAACCGATGGGAACATTAACGATGCAAAAAAAACAAATTCATTTTATCATCTATCAAGAATATTAACTTCAAAACGTTTAAACCAGTCGCACATAAATTTGAAGAATTCTGTGAGTGAAAGGTTGAATGCAATTACATCCAAAAATGAGAAAAGAATTCATACAGCAGCTTAATGCATAAAATCGACGTAACACATCAACATAAAATTCCTCCTTCATAAAAGCGCCCTGATACAAACAATCGGCTGATGCAGTGAGGTTGTACAAATAAGCTTCTTGAGAAAATACGTCAAAAAATATATCATCTTTCAAGAAGAAATGTAAAGAAATACCTATCGAAATTATACTTTGCAATGATGTAAACGTAAAGTGCTTCGACAAACACACGGAATGTGATGAATAAAATGATAAACTCAGGTATATTTTAAACGTAAGCGCACAAAAAAAAAAACCGAATGAAAATGAGTTTGGCTTAATGTCGAATAGCGAGCGATGAGTGTTATAGTCAAGCATGCAGGTGCAGGCTGAAATATGCCGCAGTTATCGAAAAAAGTCGTCGAGACGAGGATCATTTATGAGCGCTGTGCAATGGAATATTCTTGAGATGTGAAGCAACGAACTGCTCATTCAGTTAAAGTACTGAACAGTTCAACAAGAGATAAAGATGTTACTAACAAAGAACTAATAATCAAACATGATACTGTATGCATCCATTACATACTAACAAATTTTGTGATCAGTGAAACAACTGCAAGCGAGCGATCTGCCACTAAGGCATCATCAAAACATGCACTAAACCATGCACAAAAATTTCACATATTCACGAGTAGGTTTCATTTGCGGTAAATTCACACAAACACAAACAGTTCGCTCGGTGGATGGTTCAGGTTTTGACTCGGAAGGTTTATTAAACCACCAAGTTTTTTTAAAGAGCACATTGGATAGAAGAAATTGTTACTGCGTCCCACTGTAAAAATGATGTTGTTCCGCAAAGAAATCATGATCTTTTCTGTTCCTAAACGCGATCGTACTCAGTAGTTTTATTAGTCTTAGAAGGAAACATAGTCCTAGCACTGAGAATAATTTCATTTATTCTCGTACTTATCGAGAACATTGTTCTCCTGTAACAAATACGTAACGTTGAAAAGCTGTTTCACAGAAATGAACGAACGAAACTGCGAAACGGAAAACAGGAAATTTAAAAAAGGAAGAAGGTAGAGACGGCGTATGGAATTTTTCATTTGATAAGATGTCTGCCAATCATTTACTGTCACTCGGGCACAGTGTTTACTTTTAACAAATGACGCTGAAGATGCTAAAATTTAGTGTGGCTGAAGCGATTTTGTCATGAGTACGAAAATTTTCAATATTGACGAACAAAATTCACCAGAACCATTTCATCGAAATTGGAGATCTTCTGAATGATAATAAACAGAACAGAGAATATGATGATTGTTCGTTCGAATTATGCTTCACAAATACATGGTTATATTTAAGGCACTTCTTGTACTATGTTAGACAATAATCAATAACAACCGACTCAACAAGATCACACATAAGCATAAAAACAAATTTTGCATATATATAT